ATTATTTTATTGTTAAATTATAATATAATTAAGACTGCTGCTGCTACAACTATTATTATTATTATTGAAAGCAATAATAATACAAGAATAATGATAATTGTTAATTACTGCTGTTATTAGTATTTTCATTATCACAATACATGTATTCTTAATTTTTTTGATGTGCAGTCATGTGTATATTTAAAATAGTTTTTTTCCATATTTTTGGTGCCACCGCTTGGAATTGTCTAAAATTGGTTTGTTTTATTACATTCAGATTTACTGTTCTTGTTCTACACATTATACACATTTTTTTTTAGAAATAAGTTGACTAAAGTTACAGTCACTGGCAACTTTGGCAATAATCAACATCGATGTGTGCTACATAGAGTTATGCACACACAGCAACTAGGTGATATGTTTCAGAACATTATTACTATATTGTGTATTTTAGCACATTATAGCATGTTAGCACTTGTATAGTGTTATTACAGTTTTTCTTCAATCGACACATTTGACACATTTCTCCAAATGAAAGAAGCTGTTCTCAAAACAATTAACACTCTAAGGCCTACAAAATTGATCCAAAGATGGCATTCAATTTGAGGTGAATAGAAGGTTTCATGCATGTTCCATCTTTCATGGCAAAGTGATTTTTAATTAAATGCATCACATTTAATCTTATGTATTAACTCGTTTCATCTGACTCCATAAAATAAAAATAAAAAAGTTTAACAATGATATCTGTGCATCATTAAATACATGTTAATGTTTGACTATTCCTTTTAACTCTAATGAAAATAAAGTCTGTTAGAATAATCAAATATAACAATTTATTATGTCAGGTAAATGTGTCATTACAATTCCATAATCAATTGAAAGATAATCAATGCAAACCATAAAATGTTTCTAGAACAAAGAACTTTACCCAACATATTAACTACATGAATGCTGAGCCTCGAAGACACAGCATATCATGGGCTGATCTGATACAGAAAAAGCAGCCCTGAACTCCCCGTTGCATTTCCTTATATAGCCAGACCTTACTTTATGTAAATCATCAGGTTACAATGGAAAGTTACTGTATTCCCCCATCATACTTACTGGATGAAGAAGATGACCATCTGCTAAGAGCAGTGGAAATTAGCATTTACAACTTTGGAAAGTCTAGAGGTGGTCTAATTTGCTAATTTGATAATTGCTTTGTGTGCCAGTTATTCCTAAACTTCTTAAAAACCTTATTACCTTTTCTTTTACTTTTGGAAATGAGACATCTGTACCAGTCACTCTGAGACCTTCAAAATGACACTAAACAATCCTTAAAGTTTATCACATTCACATTAAAACCATATACATTCTTGTGTGAGTTTTCAGTGTTACTGACTGAGAGAGCAATGCCATTGTCTTTAGAGGCCACTGGTCAGATATGTTCTCTTTAACCAGTTTTCCAGTCTTACAACAGTTCAATTTTACTACATAATGTGTACATACTGTAACTACACATTTTAATACAGCATTTTTACTCTAATAATGCATTTAGCAAAAATAGATACTGACATCAAAACTACTCTCTAAATAAAAAATAAAAACATATTCAACTCTAGATACATAAATACTTGATTTAAAATATATGTTTACAATTAATGCAGAGTTGCAGTTGTCTTCTAATCCAGTAAAGTTTTGGTTGGCTGTATGAACAATTTTAAAAATATTTCAGAATTTTGTACACAATGTTTTGAGAAAATTTTGGATGTGATTTGTAATTTGTAAAAAAAAAAATGACACTTGGGGCCCTATCTTGCACCCGGCGCAATTGACTTTGTACACCGACGCATGTATCATTCGTATTTTGCACCCGCGGGCTTACGTCGGTAAACTAGGAAATGAACTTGCGCTCCCTGGGCGGGTCGGCGCAAAAAGGCGGCGTGTGTCGGCGCAAACGTTCCCTGGTGCTATTTTGCAGTTCCATAAAACAATTGTGCCACTGACCAGAAAAAAACTAGTTTAAAGTCAGTGGCGCGTTGTGTGCACATTCAGATGCTATTTTAAGCGCACATGCTTGACCATAATACAGCGTGAGAACAACGCACATACACCGTAGATGATTCTCTCATCTACACAGATGCATTTTACTTTTTGCAAATGATACATTATTATAAGGAAAACTATTAAAACATAAGGGAAATCATTATTGTGTCCATGACGATGGGAAAAAATAGGCATAAAGCTTACACATTTACCCAAATTATCATATCTATGTTGAACCGAAGCTAATTTGGGTGTGTTTGTCCCAGCCCCAATGTCACTTCGACATCGATCTCCTCGGCTGTGAACCGATTGGAAGCGCGCCTGGTAAATGCGCCGTTAACAGAATTGCGCCATGGAACAAGCACACCTCGTTCATCATGCTCTTAAAGGGCATGTGATATGACGCTCTTATTGGTTTGTTTCCGTTACGCCCAAACCACACCTATGAATAATAAAGCTACTCCAGACCAACCCATTTTAGATATGCGCCAGGCACAAGAGGCATTTATCCCGCCGGGAAAATAGCAACAGCGCTGGGATCTGCCCACAAAGTTACTTGCGCTTTGACACTTGCGCTTCAGATCGTTAAAATAGGGCCCATAATCTGTTTAGGACAATTACAAAGTGTTTAGACCACTGTGTTAACTGTTTTGAGAGCAGTGACATACGTTTGGAGAAGTGTGTCAAATGGATTTGGAAAAACTGTAAGCCAGAACCAATCAGCCCAATCAATCATGCCCTGAACAATCCATTATGCGTGGAAAAATGTCTATCTTTGTTTTGTTTGCATTTCAACAGGTTCACATGAGCTATTCTTCCTTGAACAGTACAGTTTTTCTCTGGCTGTTAACTAAACACAACAACACCTGTCAAACTGTGTGTATGTTAGCCTGAAATTTAAAACTGACCTTGAAGCTGAAGAGCAGGTTTGGTGACTACAAAGTAAATGCGGAGGAATTCTTCCTATGTCGGATATCCTTTCGCATTTGTGTCTGCAGAGGTTCTTACAAATATTACAGTGACATTTCATACAAAAATGATTGCTTGTTATGGTCACTCTCATAGGTGCATGTAAGTTGTTGTTAGGTAAAGTGAAAGCACATGCTGGTGTGCTATTGAGTATTAGTGAGGTATTATATCTGGACACATTTGGCTTGACAGCTGTCAGATATTATCTTTAGAAGGAGGCGATTATCTTGCTGTATTCAAGGCTGTTCATCACCTCTTAAGAAGATAGATGTGTGTGCTTGTTTGATATGATTGGGAAAAGATATTCTTGATAAGCCTTATGTTTAGAGAATTTCAAGAGAGATGCCAGTAATCAACTAGTAAGGCTAAAGCAAACACTCAGAAAACCTGAACAACCATATGTATTATGTAACAGCAGCATCTTCGGGCACATGACCAAAACATTCTTATTGTTTGCTTATTGATTTTATTTTTTGGCCAATGAAAAAAGTATTACAACACCTCTTGGTAAACATAATCAGTCTCAGTGAAGGCCTATACGTGGATAATTTTCCATTTATTTGTATGTACAACACATTCTCATCCCAAGACGTCATCTAACTGTCGTCTCATGGGTTTTGATCTGACGTTTTAGGGTACCGTCAGTTAGATGACGATCCTGGGACGTCCTCTAACTGTCGCTTTACCTTTAGCGTCAGTTAGATGATGCGGGTAGGTTTAGGTCTGGGGTAGGGTTAGGATTAGATACTGTCATCTAACTGACGTTAAAAGGTACCCCAAAACGTCGGATGTTGACGTATGGTCAAAAGCGTCTAGATGACGTCTTGGGATGAGAACGGGCTGGTATGTAATATTCCTTTCATTCTTATGTAATATTCCATTAATTCTTATTCATTCAGTCTTGGTTTGAATAGGTCTTAATACATAGGAATTGTTTTAGTGTGGGATAGACTTTTGTCCAAACATTTCAGGCCAGAACTACAAAGAAAATGTATGCAGAAGATAAAAGTTGAAGATGAAATGGAGGATGATTGACTGAGAGAAGAGCGATTACAAGTGATTAATCTAATCACATGTGCTCAGATCTCGAGCCAATGGCTGTAGTCAGTACAAACAAGCACAAATATTAAAGCAAACACACACCAGGTCGCCGATCACAGACAGCCTTTCTGTTTCACATCAAATCTGTGTTTAATGTCGTCTCATGGGTTTGGATATTAAACAGATGGGACACAGGATACTAACAGTCTGAACTGCTCACGATATGAGCGTTCATTTAATACATATCATTACTGTTGGTTTCGTGGCAAGAACAAACTCGTACAGATCAGACTTTTGTTTCTTAGTGTCACTTACTGTGATTCGTTCCTCCGACACTCATATCACACTAGAAGATGAGTGTGATCTGTTCACTTTTTCTCTGCTGTCTTCTTTCTTTCGCTGTGTCTATATATATTTCTCTAATCTCTTAAATACACATTTGGTTATGATTAGGGTAATGGAGAAAATGAGTGCTTCACATTTTAAATAAAGAGGAACAGATTATATGCAGCGCAGTGCATATGCTGTATTAAATTTGCCCAGGGCATCAGATATAGCACATCTTAAACAGCATTAAAATTTTAGAGCCTCAACCCACATGCTAATATACATATCTGAACAGAATTACTCATCCTCGCCAATGCTAAGCAGATGAATTCATATAGTATGTGTGTATGTAAAGGTGTAATATAGCTGTTTTTGAAGGGAAAGAAAATATCCTCACAGACTTTTCTTGGCTTTTCTTCAGGTGTCTTTTCTATTTGAGGTGAAATCATATTTGGCTTTAAATTTGATCATATCAGTAGGTTTGTGGATGAGCTAGTAGTGTATAGGATGTGGTAAATATCATTATCCTATGTGTGTGCATGAATGCAAGGAAGAAAGTGTCTATTTTTATTTTTAATATGTGTGAATTAATTTACTGGAACTTGCTGTGATAATTCTTTTTATATTTAATCCATGCTTCTCTTTTTTTCTCCCAGCAGACATTTCTAAGCTGGGTTCCCTTGAATTAAGGAACACATATAACTTTAGCACCTTCCTGTTGGACCGTGCGTCTGGGATGCTCTACCTTGGTGCGCGTGATGCAATCATTGCCGTGGATACTGCTAACCTATCAAAGAGGAAGTTGGTGAGCTCTCTTTTCTCTTGCAGTGAATGTCACAGCTTGGTAATAATGCAAAAGCCAACAGAAAAGGTCTGTGGTTTTTTTTTTTTTTTATCGAGGAAACCAAAGGGATGCCAACTTCTAGGTTGACCTATAAAAAGTACATCCTTGCAGAACATAATTTACATATGAAGAGTTCAGATGCAAAAGCCTCTAAGTGCCATTTGAAATTTTCTTCTAGAATGATAATTTTTATCGAGCTTGTATATTTAAGTTCAGTAATTTCACTTAAATTGCAATTTAAGTGAAATTACTGAATTTTAATATACAAGCTTGATAAAAATTATCATTTTAGAAGAAAATTTCAAATGGCACTTAGAGGCTTTTGCATCTGAACTCTTCATATACTAATCTTAATTAGTCCGAAGGGCATATTTGCACAATATATTGACTCACTAAACATTGTGCATATGTCATGCTTAACATCTTTCCAGTCCTCCTTAAGTCCTCCTTAAGAAGTAGCTTCATTAGGAGATCTGTATGACTTATCACAATTCAGGTTTATAATTTCCTAAAGGTTTTCAATAGCTTTAAGGTCAGGGCACTGAGGTGGCTACTAAAAGACTTCAAAATGCTGAGTATGAACACTTTCATTGTGCGCAACTTTGTTGATGTGTTTAGGATCATTATTATGGTGGTAAATACACCTATGCTCTCCAAACAGATCTTCCATTCTTCTTTACATTCTGTTCAACAGAATTCCCAAGTATTGGTCCTATTTCAAAGTGCCTGCAAATTTATAGATCCTTCCAGCACCTTCTGCAGACATGCGCCCCCCAGTACCGTTATTTTTCCTCTGCTGTGCTTAACAGAGTCACGCATGCATTTGGAATCAAAATAATCCAGTACCCGACACCATCCAATGCTAGGTTGTTACATTTTTTGATTTGTCGGACTGCAGAATGCAACTCCAATCTGCCATACTATAGTCCTTATATTCTTTGGCAAATGCGAGGTGATTATATACTCTAAAAATGCTGGGTTGTTTCAACCCATGTTTGGGTCAAATATGGACAGCTGTCCATATTTGGCCATATTTGACCCAAACATGGGTTGAAACAACGAGAATATAAGAATATAAGGACTGGAGTATGGCAGATTGGAGCCACATTCTGCAGTACACTCTAAAAAATGCTGGGTTATTTTAACCCATCTTTGGGTCAAATATGGAAAAACCATTGGATTAAACGTTTAAATAACATTTTCAACCCAACATTTTGGTTTGTCCATATTTGAACCAAATTTGGGTTAAAACAACCCAGCATTGAGTTACCCGAATAGCCTAGGATGGATGAGGCCAGGCTTGAGCATGGTAACTCAGGGATCCTTCGATTGGTAATCCACCTACTTAGTGACGTATCGAAACATCCTTTATTTAAAAAAAAAAAAAAAAAAAAAAAAACAACCCAGCATTTTTTAGAGTGTATTTTACTGTTGTCGCTCATGATCGCGAATGTATAACATGTAGCGTAATGTTTACAAATTTAACCTTATTGTCAAGTGTTACCATTTATCACTCTAAAAAAAATGCTGGGTTGTTTTAACCCTAATTTGCATCAAATATGGACAAACCCAGCCATTTGGTTACATTTATAAATTTCTTTTTTAACCCAATGTTTGAGTTTTTCCATATTTGACCCAAAATTGGGTTAAAACAACCCAGCATTTTTTTTAGAGTGATGCTAATTGCATAGGATAAGAGACACGGCTGTGTTTGTTTAATTCTAATTAAAAGAAATTTAATTGAAGTGGAATATTGAGTTAAATCATTACATAAAATGCTTTGTGCCAAATAACAATATCCAACTGGCCACCAACATACTCGCATATAATCATCATAACAGACAGGCCAACAGGATTCAATACACCACTTTTCATCAAGCTAAATTAGATGATCTCATCCCTGATCGCTAGTGCAGCTCTCTAACCAAATTATCCCTCCGCGACGGCACTCCCATTTCCCCCTGCAGTCACCTCTCTCTGTCTCCTGTCATCAGAGTCAAAATTCATCACACACTATAATGTAGCTTCACGTTCGTTTACCCTCGAGCACACAGAATGTGTTCGAGCCCAGGACATGCTTGCACCATACCTCCATCTGCACTATCCACTATCTGGAAGCAAAATTACTCACTTGTGAGTAAGTGTCATGTAACATTAGATAGGCCTAAGATTAAGGAGAGCTACTGTGTGAGATCATAGCACTGAAATCATGATTACTCTTTTCCTGTGCTAATAAGCAATGATCTTGTCCCTATAGCCAAAGATTTTTTAGATTTTTGTGGGTTAAATTTCTCTTTAAAATATTTTCATGCAAAAATTTGTTTTAACCTCATTTCTATGTAAAGGGCAGTACAAATAAAAACTAAATAATTCACTGAATCAACCCAGATAGTGGTCTGGTCCTGTATCATATAAAGGGGTGTAATTTGCCAATTAAATAAATAATTAAATGAACATGAAATATTGATTTGGTCTTAAATTATTTGATTATGTGAGTAGAAAGGCCACCGAGGTTCTGTGAGAGATGTAAAAATAGCATTGTGTTGAAGCGCAATGTACAAAATTCTGTATGGTTCCCTGCAATACAGCATTCTGGGTTCTTCTATTTTTGAATGAAACGAAACGAACGAAAATTATGATATTTCTCATAATAGAATTTGTGTATTTGACTGTTGGCTCTGATAACCAGTGTCTACACTGTGCTAGTTTAATCTATCTGACATCAATTCTGTATCTCTTTAATATATAATTTCAATATTTCATATTTTCAGTGTTTGTGTAAAGAGCAAGAAAACATACAGTCCAATACGGACATAGTCTGACAAACTCTAGAAGTGACAGTTGTTTAACATGAAAAGTCTAATGTGACTTCACTTGAATGACCCAACCCCACCCCCACCCCCATTTCCTTTTGAGTGTTCCTTTTGAGTAAAAGACCATAAATATTATACATTTTGGATTCTGACTGAATGTGTTAATATGTGTGATGGCTAAACAAGTAAATAACATTTTAACACAGTCTCATCCCAAAAAGTCATATAACTGACGTTTTGGGACGTATTTTGACCATACGTCAATATCCGCCTTTTTAGGGCCCCCTTAAACGTCGGTAGATGGCGATCCCGGGCCGTCATACAACTGACGCTTTACCTTTAACGTCAGTTAGGTGACGGGTTAGGTTTAGGGTTAGGTTTAGGTATGGGGTAGAGTTAGGATCCCATAACCTCATCTACCGACGTTGAAGGGGGCCCTAAAAAGGCGAATATTGACGTATGGTCAAAAGACGTCCCAAAACGTCAGTTATATGACGTCTTGGGATGAGACCGGGTTGAACATTTACAAGTACTGAATACCATGCTTTTCACAGGCCGAACATGGTTTGCATTTTCATGGCTGGCATAGTTTCATTTTAACCAGGAAAGAATTTGAAGTGCTCTCTCTCTCTCTCTCTCTCTCTCTCTCTCTCTCTCTCTCTCTCTCTCTCTCAATATCTATGTAGATTGAATGGAGTGTTCCAGAAGACCGGAGGAAATCTTGTGTTGCTAAGGGGAAGACCGAGGTAAACCCATATGATGTAGCCTTGTGAAAGGGTTGGAAAAGCTCCTAATTCCAAAATCCATCATTTGCCTGCTTTTTACAAAAATTCTTAAGGGTGCCCTCAACACTTTTGCTTTGTTTTAACCGACCGATATGGCAGTCATCAAACTTTTCCTGACAGCATCACACAAAAAGGCACATATTCTCAGTTACGGAAGCCACCGTATAAATGCAAAAATTAACAGTCAGCAATTATTTTGTGAGTAAAAGTATCGAAAAACAGATGGGTTAGCAAGAGAAAGCAAGTCTTATTGGAGTATTAAACATAATTTTAAATCTGTTTTCCTAAAGTAATATTCATTTCTTCATGTTTAAACCTTTTTAATAAAAACAATTGCTCAGGCTTTAGTAGGGTTCCCTGTGTGCATGTCATTCTCTCTGTCTTTCTCTCCTGAGGGCGGCACATGGAGTAAGTGAGTGTGAGACAGAGCTAATGAGCTCACTTATTTGTGGTTAGCATTCAGTGCTGTGATGTCGGGGGGAGGGGCCTGTGGATGATTGACAAGTGGGCTGAGGCCCCAGTGGGGGAGGGTCAGAAAGGGTGTCATTATAGGCAAACAAAAGGTATGTCATACTCGAATGGAGAAAGAGAGGAAACGGAATAGGAAGAACTGAAAGGGTGAGCATAAGGACACTGCAGACCTGCGACTGGTCATTTGAATATACCTTTTTTTCTCGAAATTATTCACGTTTGATTTCAACACATGGAAAAAAACGATACAGAATGGTTTCTCATTAATCTTTATTGATGTACTTAATGGTCTGTCTAGTCAGGAAATAGAAACTTTTCGAGTCAAGCCAACTGGTTTTCATTAAAATCTCAGCCTGGTGTATAGGATCAGGATGCATCTGTGCATGAAAACCTCATGTGTGCTTTATAAATTGTCCTACTGTGAAATGTCAATCATTACCGAGTAACTGTGCCCTTTAAATGATAGAAGATGGGGGAGGTCTCACTGTAGAAAACGTATGGGGGTCTCAGATACAGCCCAGTTCAGGTTACCAATCACTATTATTGATACAGAAACTCTCTTGTTTTCACTCAGCGACAGTTTCAAAATCGACCATGAGTGACACATTCACAACTATGTGCATCTGTGCTCTTACTTAGACGCATGGATTTTTGGAAATATTTGAAAAAGATAAATTTATGACACTACTTTAGAATAATAATAATAATAAACCATTAAATAATCAAATGGGTGATTAAAATGAAAGCAGAAAGCGACCTTGTGCTTTGACAGTAATTGGTAGTTAAATATCAATTAATTAGCTTTATTTTTTTTTAATTGGTCTTGGTATACACACAATCCTTTAAAAGCAGTTCTATTATGATTATTTGGTGCTCAAAAATCATTTTTCTCATTATTATCAATGTTGAAAACATATGTGCTTTGATGAGATAGTTCAAACGAACTATCTTTTTGTAACCTTATAAATGTCTTTACTGTCAGTGTTGATCAAATGAATGCTTCCTTGATAAAAGTATAAAAGTATCCCCAAAAAAATGTACTGACCTCAAACTTTTGAACAGTAGTGATATAAAGTAATATAAAAAAATACAAAATAAAAAACAGAATGTTATGAGAATGTTATGTCTCACAATGTCATGTTTTACTCTGCTGCCCCTCACAGGATGACTGCAAGAACTACGTCCGACTGCTGGAGTTTTTGGAAGATGGACGCATATATGCCTGCGGGACCTTCGCCTTTGATCCCCAGTGTGGTTTTATTGTAAGTGTGCATGTTTCCACAAATAAACTGATTCAAGTATCCTCAATCTATTTCATAGGACAGTTAGATAGTTATATGGAAACGTCTACACGTGCAAAATATGGCGGGTAAACATATGTGTGTACGGATTGTGGGAGATGACCTTCAATAAGTCTTTTACCCTAGAATGAGTGACAGGTCACAACCTGTGGTATATGACCATAAGCATGTACCTGTGTTCTCTTCTCTCTCTATTACACCTTTCTTCATCCCATTTTTGCAAATTTCTTTTAAATTTAAGGACAGACTATTATTAAATTTGTCTGTGTTCCTTGCCTCATTTAGAACATCTCTTCATTCTCTCTGGAGAAGCATGATGATGGTAGCATGATGTTGGAGACCGGGAAGGGGAAATGCCCCTTTGAGCCCAGCCAGCATTACACCGCTGTCATGGCAGGTACAGTATGAAACACACGTTTACTCAATGAATCTAAATGAGGAGATAATACACTGGACGTCTATTGTAAACATTTATATGCGAACCCAAACCCTAACCCTAAATGAAAACTTATAAATATTCTTATAAATATATTTTCCAATTGAGGATGTGATGATGCTTTCTCTACACTTAAACCTCACAGAAACCTTTTGGATCATCATCAAGACATTATTTAGTGTATTTATTAAACAGTTTTACTTCATAAAAAAAGAAAAGAAATAAGTACATTAATAATTTTTTTTTTTGCTCTCTCTCTCTCTCTCTCTCTCTCTCTCTCTCTTTCAGGAGGGATCCTGTACACTGCCGCCACAAGTAACTTCCTTGGCACAATGTATGACATTTCCAGGGCAACGGGCATCGAGCAGGAACGCATCCGGACTGAGCAATCAATCAACTGGCTTAGTGGTAAGACACTCATCCATCCATCCTTCCAGACACAGGCATTTACACTTTAAAGCCAACATTTTGTTGATTGACCCAGATTGTTTATACTGTAACTACAGTCTTCTTTGACCCCTGCTTGTTTCTGAACTCAGATCCAGAGTTTGTCAGTTCTGCCTTCATCCAAGAGGATGAGAAGAACAATCCTGCTGGTGAAGATGACAAAATTTACTTCTTCTTCACTGAGGTGGCTAAAGAGTATGACCTCTACACCAAAGTCAAAGTGCCCAGAGTGGCCCGGGTCTGTAAGGTAGGAACTAGACCTAGTGTGTTTCTTGTCTCTCTAGTCTTTTTGTGGCTTTGCTTGCGATGTCTCAGAGGGATGTTGTACAGTAGTTCTGCTCTCAGTTGATATGTTACGTAATTGTACTGTTCCACTTGAGTTCAGTCATAACGTTCCTCTATTCTTTGCCATCTGTCTGTTTCATCACCCATTTTATATCATACCTGATCTATTTTGGTCTCTCGCTCTGTTTTCTAGTCTGATGTGGGTGGTATGAAGACTCTGCAGAGGCGGTGGACGACGTTTCTGAAGGCTCAGCTGGTGTGTGAAGATCGAGCGAGTGGACAGCGATTTAACGTTCTGACTGATGTGTTTACTGTCCAGCACCAGCCTGGAGACCCCAGCAGCACACACTTCTATGGCATATTCACCTCACAGTGGTACTTTCGTCTGTTTCACCTCCGAGCTGATCTCATCTCTTCAGAATCATTTCCTTTCTTTGCTTTTCATTTCTCCATTGACCTTGTGTGTGTCCTGTTGTGTAGGGAAAGAGAGGAGCTGTCAGCCGTGTGTGTGTACAGTCTGGAGGAGATCACTAAGGTGATGAACGGACCCTTTAAAGAGCTGAAGAAGAGCTGTGACAACTGGATTAACCCAGAGCCCATTCCAACACCACGACCAGGACAGGTATACAACTGCACCCTTACTACCATACAGTACCATATGATATGATATTACACGATACATGTGGTACATACATGTAACATATGCTTGTTGTAATAGCTAATAAGAGCCATGCACATAAACCTCACTCCCCTGGCCTCTTTATTAGTCTATACTATAGACGAATCCGGCGAAACTACCGGAAGTAAGCGGGGCGCCATTACTGAGCTGTTGCTGGGTAGCGTTGCGCCATTGCCTCCTATTGTTTTAGTTGCAACTTGCGTCCACTGGAATAAACAGCCCGCGATTTACGACTGTCACTAACGTTACAACGTTATCCCTTGTATAATATCGAGTGGGTAAACAGTTTACGTTATAAATTGTTTCAATGGTGGCAGTAAAATTTCAATTTTGAAGAGAAAACACTGTGAATACCCCGGGTCGACTGCCCCTGTCTGGTGCCGTACGGTTTACAGATTTTCTGGGCGAGTACAAGACGTGGACATTCACGTATAATAACAATTATTTAATGACATAAGTAAAAAATATATAATAAATATGTGATATAGTGATCAGCAAAATCACCTCTCTTGCTATTTTTTCTATTCAATTAACATGCTATGGTCATTAAATGGCTTTCCTGAGCTAAATGTAACGTTATGTGACATAATTGTTTTCCTGCTGTTATACTGACCTCTCTCCATGGTTTAAAAACACTAATTGGTCGATATTGTGTATACTTTCTAGCTGTAACGTTACCTTACCCTTGCCTGTTGAAATGTGAAAATGAGATAAATAATGGACACAAATGAAAAACATGAATTTGTTTATTTGATTTCATTCATTTATTTATTTATTGTTGCCAAATGGACAGATCTTTTTATAGTTTCCTCGTTAGCAAACGTTAGCCTAGCTAGCTTGCCAAGCTATTTTCATAAATAACGTTAATCTGTAAGATCGTTTGTACCTTCATCTGTGACTGGAGGCCACTGCAGTCACAGATCAAACCAACAAGTCATTCTGCCTGGCTGTAGCTGTCATCGAGGGTGAGTTCGCGTTATCACCGAGGTTTGTTTACATACCGGTGCATATGTCTATATGCCTGTGTAACAGCTCAGTAATGGCCAGTGTTGTGCAAGTTACTTCCAAACTGTAATACATTAGGTATTACTTGTTACTGTTATTTAAAAGTAATTCATTACCTTACAATATTACTGTCTCAGAATTGTAATGCGTTACATTACTCATGTATTACTTTTGAGTTACTTTCACCAAAATAACTAAGTAGAACTTAACTTTGGGGCTTCTAATGATATGCAATATGAAATCGCGATTGGCCGCACTCAGATCCACGAACCTACAGAATCGCGACACACCTCTTCCAACTCCAGCATTATTCTCCTTACCGTCCAGATCCAATGCTGCCTTATCTTTAAATTAGGCTATTAGTATTATTTGAAGTTAACATTATAAAATACGTAGACCTACACCACAAAACTAGTTGAGGATAAATTATTTAAAATTGGGGAAGTCCAGCATTATGGACATGACATTTGCAGTCAAAACTTGAAATAAAAATTCTCAGAAAATACATAATGTATTGAAACGTATATTGGCTACTTCCTTAAAGGACTCCAGACATTAGACAAATATCAGTCTGTTTTATTTTCAATATTAGGGAAAAGACACACATTCATGCGTGACAAAAAAATAGGAGGCAAAATATTTTTTTTTGTAATTCTGTTAATTACACTGCGCAAATCGGATGAGGAAGGGTTGGCTCTGCAGTCTCCATAGAACATTGAACAAGCCTCACTGTAATACAACTGTGATACAAGCCTCACTGAACATGTAACGAGTAAAATATTACTGAAAATTGATTAGTAATGCCTTACACTACTGCGTTACAGCAAACAGTAATATGTTACTGTAATGTATTACTTTTGTAATGCGTTACTCCCAACACTGGTAATGGCGTCGCCACAAGATGGCAGCCTACACAGAACGCTCGTCGGATTCGTCTATAATTACATCTATACCACATGTAATTCTTTACTTTGTTTTTATGTGATGTCTTTTTACCCCTCTCCTCATATTGTATGTTTTTTTTTAGTCTGGTTTGTTTTTTTCTTGTCTATTGTTTTCTTGTGTGTAACACCAAGGACATGCTGGAAATAAGTATTTTACTTTAGCATTTTATCCTTTGGATACTGTTTATGTTCGTCTTGATTCAGAAATAAATCAATCATATAGAATAGAATATAGTACAATACATAAAGTACAGTACTGTACTATACTGTTTTACATAATACACATTCTCTTCCCACCTTATTTTTAATGTAAGAGGAGTTTTGGTCATTTCTAAATTGAATATTTGGCTTCTGGTGTCATTCGCATTTTTTAATGTGTTGTAATTATAAACATATTGGTTTGTAGCACAGATTTACCAATTTTACAGCATTTTGTAATTCTTGTAGTTATTTACCTTTAGCGGCTAATTAATCAAAAGTCTCGCACATTCAAAGAAAAATTAAAAATACATTAGTTTTGCAATATAAAAGGAATACTGTATTGTACACTGCAGTAATATACTATATGATATTCTATATAACATAATAAACCATTATATGATACATTATATACATTACTAGCCATTCTACTCTATGAAATACAGTACAATACTATACTGTACTGTGCTTTCTTTACTATAAAATTTACAATACAGTTCAGTACTATGTAATATTGTGAAATATATACATATAATAAAATACAATGCTATGCTATACTATAATACAAAATTTCATTTAATCTACACATTGTGAGGCTGGAAAACACTACATTTTTGCTCCGATTTTTGCCCTGATTTGCAGTGGTGGAGTCCATGATAGTTGCTTAAAGTCATAACCAGTCTGCAGATTTTGGGCAGCCGAAGGTTACAGATTTCTAAAAAATTAATGTGGTGTATTAATGGGCACGACCTCAGACTTCATCTATGTTTGATATTTTAAGCCAATTTTAGAACACATATTGTAGTATATGATATGACACACCTAACCTACTATAAAGCCACTTACCCATTGCAATCTGTAAAGGCCATATTTATGTGTGACCACATATGCGTTTGGCTTAATTTGTTTGTTTGAGCAGTTTCTTCAACAACTGCTGCTGTCAGTTCCTGTACTGTACATCCATGTTTTATCTGTCATGCGCCTCCTTGTTTCTGTGGGAGTTTGATGTGTTTGGAATGACTTGATAGGGTGATAGACTGTGATCCTCAGTCTTTTAGTGTATGATGCCATTTTTCTCTGTAAACAATTACAAAGTCAGCAAGTGTATGATATCTAGGGTTTTAATATTTTTACAGATTTTCAAGTTTTGAATTCCAGCCATATGTATTTATGTTTATGTAGTCAGTATACAAGGTATTATCAGTATTTGTGTTCACAAGGGATATTGAACCCCTCGCTAGCATCATGTTTCACTCAGTATCATTACTGTCGGTTTTAAATCTGAAATAATATATTTCCTCTCTCTTCTTTGCCCACTCAGTGTTTGAATAGTGCTCTGAAAGAGCAGGGCTTTGAGTCCTCCCTGAAGCTGCCTGATAAAGTGCTGACGTTCACGCGTGATCACCCGCTCATGGAGAACAGTGTGGTGGCGGCACCATTGATGATCAGAAATGGCATCACATACACTAAACTTGCTGTTACCTTAATAACGCCCTCCGGTGACACGAAGCAACAAACAGCCACTGTTTTGCACCTTGGAACAGGTAAGAGAAATTAAACAGTTGAGTAATTTATTGTCACCCGAGTGTGGATTGAAATGCTTGATTCAGTTTAATAATACACGTGTGTGTGTGTTTTATAGATCATGGAGAGCTACACAAAGTCGCTGTGGTTGGTCCAAATGCAACTCTTATTGAAGAAGTCCCCTTGTTTTCTGCACAGGAGCCAGTGAATAACATATTGCTATACAAAGTAATAACATGCAGTTTTAATATTGTTTTATTGTAGTTTTTGTGCTATAAAACAATACTGCATCTTTAATTTAAAGACGAGTGAATGCATTGACCCTCTGTGTCTCGGCTGTAGGATGAGGCTCTGGTGGGCTCTCCTCTCTCTCTGGTGAAGGTACCCATCATGGGTTGTTCTCTATACTCTACCTGTGAGGTGTGTGCACGTGCCCGAGGCCTTGGCTGCGTATGGAGGAATAAAGAGGGAGCTTGTGCTATGGCGAAGTATGCTACAAACACATATTCACATAAAGACATATGAGGAGACACAGAAGCAGTTGGCTTTTCCTTTGTTCGTTGTCATTCTCCCTTGTTCGTCACATAGTTACATTTTTGTTTCAGGGCGGGTGAAGTGGTAGAGTCAGAAGATTTGGTCAGGCAATGCAATAAAGGTGAAGGTAAGTTTGACAGTCTGTCACTGTGACAACAAAGACAATAATTTCATCTCAGTTTGTATTAATGAACTAGAAATACTTTTTCAGTAAATACACTTGAGCAGGCTAAATGGAGTAAAAGCAGAAAAGACTCCCTGAAAAATTTTCAAAATGTATTTTAAGAAATAAAAACAAATATACACACAGTTTTATGATTTTTTTTTTAATTGAATATATGTTCATCTCTCCATTCTTAAAGGAGTAGTTCACTTTTCAAAAAACTTTTGCTGATAATTTACTCACCCCCATGTCATCCAAGATGTCCATGTCTTTCTTTCTTCAGTAAAAGAGAAATTAAGGTTTTTGATGAAAACATTCCAGCATTTCTCTCCATATAATGCACTTCAGTGGGAACCAAACAGTTCAAGGTCCAAAAGACACTTTCAGTACAAACTGCAAACTGTTCAAAGGGCTTTAAATGATTCCAGATGATGAATAAGGGTCTTATCAAGCGAAACGATTTCTCATTTTAAAAAAAAATATCAAAATTTAAGTTGCTCTGTACTGAGATGCACGTTTGTGACTCTCCTGTTAGAACTTGTTCATTAAAATGAACAAATCTTTTTCCGAGTCAATTCGTTCGTTTCGTTCCTTGAATGAACCAAATGACTCGCAAAAAGATTTGTTCATTTTGATGAACGAATTCTAAGAGGAGAGTCACAAACGTGCGTCACAGAACAGAGCAAGACAGTATTTGAGCTTATAAAACTTAAACTTTGTTATTTATTTATTTATTTATTAAATGAGCGATCATTTCCCTTGATAAGACCCTTATTCATCGTCTGGTGACGTTTAAAGCCCTTTAAACAGTTTGCAATTTGGACTGAAAGTGTCTTTTGGACCTTAAACCGTTTGGTTACCAGTAAACTGCATTATATGGAGAAAAATCCTGGAATGTTTTCATCAAAAACTTAATTTCAAGAATGACATGGATTTATTGATGACATGGGGGTGAGTAAATTATCAGCAAAAGTTTTTTCAAAAGCAAACTACTCCTTTAAAGAATAGTTTGCATTTGGGTATAGTCTTTATGGACCACATTCTCCACACCATTACCTTTTGTTGCTTTGAAATTACTATTATCATTATTATTTGAATGAAATTAATGATTATGAAAAGTTTTGAACCAATTAAATTGAATTGGAATGAAAATGTAATATTGGATTCAATATTATATAATAATGGCTGGTAATAACTTTGCCATGACAGAAATAAATGACATTTTTTATAAATATAAAAAAAACAGTTATTTTAAATTGTAATAGTATTTCACAATTTGTATTGTATTTTTGATCAGATAAATGCAACCTTGGTTAGAATATATATATATATATATATATATATATATGCATGTATGTATATGTATGAGGGGGGTCATTTTATTTTATGCAATAAAAACTAATTGTGACCTAATCATCTGTGTCCCACTTTTTCTCTGTAACTCTAGGTCTTTGTTCCCCACCTGTAATTGAAATGCGCGTGGAAGAGGGTCTGCGCGTCCTGCTTTCCTGTGTGCAGGTGTCTCCTCGTCCTTGCCGCTGGGAGAATCCCCCTGGCAGTCACACCCGCCGCCACAACTATGACCTTGAGGTGCAGGTCACAGCGCAGAGCCTGGGCACATACACGTGCCTGTGTGATGAAGTGGGCAGAGATCAGCCACCCTGTCGCAAAGCCGAGTACCAACTGACCCTTGAAAACCCCAGCATGGAGGGGAACGTAGCCGTTGCGGGTAGCCGACACTTCCTGGCCTCGCACATCATTTTTTTCGTCATAGGTTTTGTAATGGGTGTCATCCTGTTGTTTCTAATTTACAAACGGCAAGGTGGCATGAGAGGGGGCGGGCACTCATCGTCCACATTGGAAAAAGGGCGGGACTTGCTTCCTTCAACAGACACGCCGCAGTCTCCATGCAGCGACAGTCTGTTGTCGGAGGCCGTTCCGTTAACGGAGAAAAGGAACGGGACGCTGAACGGACACAGTATGCACCCCAGTGGGCTCAACGGCAGGCACATTTACACCAACACAAGTGGACTGAAACTGCAGGAGTCAGCTGTGAACCTGGCAGAGGAGCTGGACGGTAGAGAAAGGGCGGGGCCAGACGGAGAGGAGGAAGGACTGGGGGATGGGCTTAGTGAGATGGAGGAGGAGTTATCAAAAATGCCATGCCTAAGAGGAGCACCACTGGCAAAGTGCGAAGAAAGCTCGATCTGATGAGCGGCGCACACGTGATCTTTGAAACTAAACTCTGTGAAAGGCTCACAAACACAGACGGAGGGCTGGAGGAGAAGAGGAAAGCAGACAATCAAAAAAAAAAAAAAACTGATACACATTCCAAATATACGAACAACACGTAGTTATACAAAGAAGCACATACACCACTGACTCCTCTACTACTCCATTACATCACCATCCAGTCCTTTCACTCCTGTGTACATAACATGCTGTGTAGATCTGTGTCTATCCTACTGTTTTTGCATGTTTGATCAGACGCATGGGCGTTTCTTATAGCACTTTTGTGCACCATCCTCAAAGCCATGCGCACACACACACGGACATACAGTACACGGTCTTTGCATCTGTGTGTGTGTGTAAGTCTGTAGTTGCTTGGCCTGATTCCTCTTTAAGGATTCAAAAGTCCAAAAAATCTGCAAACCAGAGCAGTGCAAAGCCGTGAAGAATCTGCTCATCCTGGGCCGGATACTGAAGTAAAATGATTTGATTTGTCACCAAAAAGGGCTCTGTGACTGATGCTTCACAGCAGCAAATAATGACTGAGATACTGGAAACATGATTTTTCTGCCTTATAGATAAAGAGGTACTGTGGCCTATGGCATGGCTGGATTATAGGGTCTTTGCCAGGGAAAGGGGCACAAAGGGGCATTCAGTACGAGCTGATTCCATGGGCCCATTGGTGAAGGATATGTGGAAATAATGACTAAAATGGACCACCAAAGAGAGTGTGCCCTCATGGGACCTTGATCCGGCCCTGACCTATAGTGCCCAAGTCTTAATGGAGAGAGAGAATGAGTAACAAAGCTATTTAGCAATCTTCTCTCAGCAGGAGAGAGCATGTCGAACCTGTGAACTGATAGCAGATGGTGAGAATGGGACTTTATTTGTCCTCTGCAAAGTAAACTAACCACATGTTCTGTGGTGCCATCCGTATAGGGACCAGATGTAGCATGTTCTGTTCATAATAATCTGCACAGACGAAGGACCACAAGACGATGGTGATGATGTCACTTTAAATCGTTCAGTATGAAATCGTCAAAACGGAAATGAAGTGTGAAGGAAATGTTTGATTGTTTTGAGTTTCCCTTTAAGGACAGAGAATGTGCAGTTTGAAGGTATATTTATCCCCACTAAAGTGCATGAGACAAAGTAGCCATGAAGCTACAGATTCGTTATATGATCAGGGGCTATGGCGTTACCTAAAGCACTCCTAGTAACAAAGAGTGTTCTATAAATGTAGCCATAATGATACCTAGGAGTATGTAGGAGTATGTAAATATCTGTGAATAGAAAAGAAAATGTGATAAAGGTCTTATAAACGTGTTTTTATTCTCTCGTTTTCACCACTAGAGGGGGTTCAGTCCTTCTGCCATCTTAAATGTTGGACCACATTTAAATGCCATAACCTGCCATTTTCCAGTAGAATAACTTTGATCTACCTTATACGTTCTCCATTTATTTATTTTGTAATTTTTGTAAAACAAATATTTGTAACATTATGTCAAGCAAAGTGAAGGTAACTCTCTGGATTATGTACAATATATCTTGTCTTCTGAATAGATCTCTTTGTCAGCGCTCAATAAAATAATGAAAACAGGTACATTTAACCCCATAAATTTCTCTTTCACAAAATCCTGATCTTCTCTTGAGTTTAAGGTGATAGTTTAACAAGCCTTCACCCTCTTAATAAACCGTAATTAATATGCTGTAGTTAGACTTGTCCGCTATGGTTTTTATGTTAATATTCATTTAAAAAAACAAAACAAAAAAAACATCAGTTAGTGTTACATGCTCTTTGTTTGCTTATTCTGAATAAATAAATATGTTAATTGATGTACAGATACAGTATGTTGTATTCTAAGTTTCTATTTTTATAATTTATATATGATGAAGATAAATGTACATTTGTGTTTGAAACATTTATTGAAGGTGTTTGTGTGTGAACGGCTGTATGTGTGAATGCCTTGTGATGCTCTTTGGAATAAAATAAAATAAAAAAACTACCTCTCAATGTGGCATTTTTTTTATTATCTTTTTCAAACAGTTAAATGCTATAACAAAGAAACAAACAAAAAAGATTGATATTTGTATCATGATTCCTGTCTTGTGTTCCACTTGTATTGTGTGTACTTTTGTCATTTCTTGTCTTGTGCTAAGTCTTGTAGTCCTATGTAGTTTTTCATGTTGACCAGGTGTGTCTTCCTCATTTCCTAGTTTAGCTTGTTTGCTCCTGTGTATTTATAGCCCTTGTGTTTCACTTGTTACTTTGTCAGTTGTTGTACATATTATGGTTTTGTTCCTTCCTTTGTTCTGATTAGGTTGTATTTATTTTCATTTCATTAAAAGATCCTGCATTTAGATCCTCACCTTTGCCTTCATTCCTCTGCACGTAACAGTTTGAATAGCCATCATATTTCATTTTAATTAAAAAAAGATTATTTGCTAGCTTAGCTATGTTAAAAGTGTCCAACTTTAAAACTGACAGCGTTTAACTAATTTATGCAATACTTCACAGTCATCAGTTTATTTAAAAAAAAAAAATAATGAATTGCATTTAGAGCTATTTCTCTCTACAAAATAGAGAGGAAAAAATAGAGAGGAAAGAGTACATTTTAAAAATGACTATGGTCTCAAAGAGAATGGGTTGATGAATATGAAAAAAGTGTACCTCATTTGAATGAACAAAAAGTCTGATCAGGAAAGCCATCTGTAACGTACGGACAAACATACATGGGGAGAGGGTGCCCTCTAGTGGCTCTCGAGGGCACCACGGCTGCTGATCGTCACACCATCATTTTTCAACTCAGAAATCAAAAACTCAGACATGCAGAGATGGTCCCACCGGCTGCCACAAAGGCTACAGAGAACTCATCATCCCATCCACTAAACTGCCTGGAGTGACACAAGGAAGAGTCGGAATGCTTATTTGGTACACATCAAATCTTGCCCATGCAATCAAAGTAGCTAAAACAGGACAATTCTGCACGTTATAGTTAGAAATTAATAAGACAGTTACCGCAACAGAGAAAAACATCTCCCTGTGTACCACTTATAGACCTTATTCAGAGCAGCGCCATGACAGGTATGAAAGTGAGGCTGTGAGCGATATAGACTTACCGTGTTTCCAATGGCATCCGCTGTAAAAAGCTGAATAAAGTGGCTAGATTACTTACAATTTTCCACAAGCACAAGCACAGAGACACAATTACGATAAAACAACAAACAAAAGCGGAACACATCTTTTTCATCTGTGTCGCACACTAGGTCTGTTCCTAGTCAACGGCAGGCTTCCAGGAGACTCCTACGGTAGATACACCTACAGCTCATCTTTTGGTAACAGTACAGTCGACTACTTTCTGACAGATTTAACCCAAACTCCCTCAAAGCGTTCACAGTCAGCCCACTAAACCCCCTATCAGACCACAGTAAAATAACCCTCTACTTAAACAGAGCAATGCCCCACTAAGAAGCATCTGAACAAACCCAGCTCCACGCATGTATTGATGGAAACAAAGCAGTAAAGATACATCTAAGTACAATTAGTCAACCGAAAATCCAAACCCTATTAGGTCAATTCCTTGCCACCCCTTTCCCACACAATAGTGAAGGTACAAACCTAGCAGCAGACAAGCTGAACAGAATATTTAAGGTATCAGCAACATTATACAACTTAAAAACAACAAAAAGAAAACCAAAAAGACCACATGCCACTGAGAAATGGTTTGACAATGACTGCAAAAAAACTTAGGAAAGAATTAAGAACCCTATCCAACCAGAAACACAGAGATGCTGACAATGAGAACATCCGTCATCTCTATCACGAAAAACTTAAACAATATAGGAATACTTTAAGAAAGAAAAAAGAACAAAACACAAAAAGCCAACTCAGGGAAACTGAAGAATACTTAGAATCCGACCAGTTCTGGAAACATTGGAACACACTAAACAAACCCTACCATCCAGAATAGCTATCCAGAATGGAGATGTTTGGATTAACCACTTCTCCAACCTTTTTGACAATGTAAACAAAAATCTGGAATAAAATGCCCTGTATGACAAACTAACGGTTTTAAATCAACTATCAAAGACTACCAGAACCCCTTAGACACCCCAATTACACTAACTGAACTATCAGACAAAATACAAACCCTGAAATTCCAAAAGGCCTGTGATGTTGTTTTGATGGCATCCTAAATGAAATGATTAAATACACAGACCACAACTTCAAATTAGTCATTCTCAAGCTCTTCAATTTCATCCTGAGTTTAGATATATTCCCCAACAGTTGGAATAAAGGTCTTATTACCCCAATCTATAAAAAGGGAGACAGATTTGACCCTCATAACTACCGTGGTATATGTGTAAACAGCAACCTAGTCAAACTGTTCTGCAACATCCTAAACAGCAGACTAGCCCATTTTCCCAGAGACAGAAACGGTCTCTTTATTGTCAAATTGGCTTCAAACCAAATTATCGCACATCAGAACATATACACTCTCCATAACTTAGTCGATAAACAAATTGACGAAAACAAAGGAAAAATTTTCTCATGTTTTGTTGACTTCAAAATGCTTTTGACATTTGGCATGAAGATCTTTTTCTTCAATTAATTGAGTGTGGCATTGGAGGAAAAACATATGACATCATCAAATCAATGTACACAAACAACAAATTTGCAGTTAAAATTGATAGCAAACACACAGAATTCCTCCTTCAGAGTCGTGGAGTGAGACAGGGCTGCAGCCCCTTTTTGTGGAAATAGGCTCATTTTACAACTCCCCCAGAGTTAAACAGTTGAGTTTTACCGTTTTCGAATCCTTTCAGCCGATTTTCTGATATTTAGAAGAATATCAGTAACCAGACAGTTTCTGGTCTCATTGACTTCCATAGTATATTTTTTTCCTACTATGGAAGTCAATGAGACCAGAAACTGTCTGGTTACTGATATTCTTCTAATTATCAAAAAATCAGCTGAATGAAAAAAAAAATCATTCAGCTAATTACCTAATTATCAAAAAATCAGCTGAAAACACTAAAACTCAACTGTTTAACTCTGGGGGAGTTGTAAAATGAGCCTATTTCCAACAAAAGTGGAGTATCCCTTTAAGTCCCACACTGTGTTCAACATCTATATAGTAAATGAGCTAGCGAGGGCTCTGGATCAGTCTGCAGCACCTGGCCTTACTCTACTGGACACTGAAGTCAGATAACTTCTGTTTGCTGATGATCTTGTGCTGCTGTCTCCCACTAAAGAGGGTCTACAGCAGTGTCTAGACCTCCTGCACAACTTCTGTCAGTCATGAGGCCCTGACAGTTAACCCCAAAAAGACTAAAATAATGATTTTCCGAAAAAGACCCAGAGGCCAAGATCAACATCATAGTTTTAAATTGGACGACATGGTCATCGAACACATGCAGGAATACACTTACCCTGGCATAAAAAAAATAAAAAAAAAAAGCTGTTAACAACTTGAGAGATAAGGCATGGAGAGCTTTTTATGCTATCAAGAGAACTATCCAAATTGACATCCCAATCAGAATCAGGCTAAGAATAATCAAAACAGTAATAGAGCCCATCGCGCTGTATGTGAAGTCTGGGGTCCACTCACAGACCAAGATTTCACTAAATGGGACAAACATCCAATAGAGACTCTGCAGACCGAGCTGTGCAAAATCTTGCTACATGTTCAGCACAAAACCCCAAATTAATGCCTGTAGAGCAGAATTAGGATTATACCCCCATAATTACCATTCAAAAAAAAAGAGCCATTAAATTCCATACCCACTTAAAAAACAGCGATGAACAGACCCTCCGCCACAAAGCCCTGACCTAAGAGCTGAAGCCAGAGAAGAACGCCCTCGGCCGATTGGTCTTAGAGCTCACGTCACAAACGGACTGTAAAAACAGTGCTACATTTATTGCTTAAATTTAGCTAGCCTATTTTCAATGATAGCGTTTTAAAGCTTTTTTAGCCTTTTTTTATTTCTTCTTCTTTTTTTTTCAACTTGTAGACTGAAAGCAAGCCTATATATATATTCTTGTTTTTAGTTAAAAATATGTAGGCCTAGTCTATAATAGCTAGCTAGCTGAATAAGCTTCTTTTTTGTAAGGGTTATCAGACTACAAGAGACAAGAGAAACAATAAGTAGGCCTATGTGGATGCTTTTCGGGTTATTCAGTATCGGGGCTGCTGTCTGTTAACTGTTTTCAGATGTTCTTGGAGAACTGGATTTCGTAATGGGGAGGGACCAATTCATTTCAAAACAGAAGAGATTTGTGCGTGGAGACAGTAAAGTTATTTTGAAACATTGCAAGTATTTTCGCGAGAATTTAGGCTGCCGCTTTAGGGGATCAGCAAAATGGCAGGTAGGCTAACGTTACGTTTATTTTCATATTTCTGCGAGTTATTTTTTTCGCTTCATTTTTTTTAGGAATGTTCCTGGAATTCATCCAAAAAGGGGTTCCTTTCTACCTCTTTAAAATTCACAGATTTATAGATGTATTTGTGCTGCTGAATTGAATCAAAACTAAAAGTGTGTCGATTTAAGCTTTATCTTCGTGTTTATCACTTTAATCATGAAACTGTCGTGTCGTGTGCAGATGAACCGCAGATAGAGTCTGGAGAAGCTCGGAACCCCGGAGAGATTTTGGACATCCGCTTTCAGAAAAACACCAATCATAAACAGAAATACCTGGAGGCTGAACCCAAAATACTAGGAGTAGGCCAGTTTGTATACTTTACAACTTAACCGCTGACAATCCTTTTATTCATGGATGCGAAAAATTACTATAACTGTACATAATTGTAGTAAACTTTTTTTGAGTAAGATTCTCATTTTATAATGGTGTGTAACAACAATTGCAAATTTGTGGTCATAGTGTTTTTTTGTTGTTGTTTGTTTTGTGTTTTTACAGTAAAATGTCAGGCTTAAGAATATTTGAATATAGCCTAATACAGCATCGTTAATTTTCATAATTGTTTTTGTGGTTCATTTCAGGTAACGCAGATTGCGTTGGCTGTGTTTTTCATATCTGTGACAGTAGTGTTACGTGTCCATGACATACATTCATTGACAGTGAGTGACGATATTACCCCCACGATTGTAAGTAAGCCTACACTTCACATTTAACAGAATCGTTTCGTTTGTTTTTCCAATACATAAAAACCCTGTAGTCCCAGTTAGCCATTTGTCAGCCTTCTTTTTCAAGGTAAATTCAAGGTATTTACCTTGGTAATTTCAAGGTAAATAAGGTTTTACAGCAAACATGTACACTGTAAAAAACAAACAAAACAAAAAAACATATTTTTTACGGAATAGTAACGCTGGCAACTTTGGTTGAATATTGAAAATACAT